TCACTCACTCACTCACTCACTCACTCACTCACGCACTCACTCACTCACTCACTTTCTCTCTCTCACAAACACATAAACACACACACACACTCTCACACACACACTCTCTCGCCCACGCACACACACACACACACTCACACGCACACACACACACACACACACGAGTCAGGTAAATGAGAGCTTTCACATTCGATACACACAGTTCCTCTCAAACAGGACAGTTCCCCTCCCTGTTCTCACAGGTTTCTCTAGAGAAAAGCACCTCCGTAATCTCACACGTCTCCTCTGGAGTAACACGGATCTCAACAACGTCTCAAACCGAGCTCAGATCTGCCTACGATCACATGATCTCCATCTGAACTCAAACATGTCTCATCAAAGCTGCTTCATGTGCTCTTACTGGGTCACAACTACCGACTCATTTGGGTCTGATTTTATTTTAGCAGAATCATCTGAGACGAAGCTGCTCCTTCACTGAAACAGAACTGAGAGCTCAGTAAAGAAGCAGCACGAGCCTCACATAAACATCTGCGATAATAACTTCATAAATCTAGCAAACTTCTATTTCCATTAATAAACTAATGCAGATTTCTACCATCATATTTAGTATTTGACAGGCTGCAGTGAGGCGTTTCTGATGGAGAGACTGTGAACTCCTCTAACTGCTGCGATCCGTCTGTCTGTACTTTACTCCATTCGGGAAGATAGTAATGGAGTTTTTCCTGAAGCAGATGCAGCATCACTGCAGCTCGTGTGGATTGATCATGTCAGGTTCAGATGAAGATGGAAAATATAGGCTACAGTTAACATTATTTGATGTAAATACAGTGCAGGCTCTTCTCAGATTGAATCAGGTGCATCTGCAGCCATGCATTGATCTCCTCTGTGGATGAACCTCTGAAACCCTCAGAAGAAACACGAATATTAGTCCCGTTGTCAAATGAACTGCATCAGCACATAAACACAAGGCTGGTGCAATGAAACGAAGGCCCGTGTTTGTGTCGCTGATGAGCGGATTCATATGAAATAAAGCCGTGATCGATGCTCACCGCTCGGCCGCCGCCGCTCCGTCGCTCCGGTTCATCATCAAACACCGGGCCGGTGCTGATCATCCCTCCATCGCTGTTCCTCACAGACAGAACCGACGCTGAGCTTCGCTTCGGTCCGGTTGTCCTACATTCACAGGCCCGTGTGAAGCTGCTTCTGGACTCAGCATCAGCACCTCGGCTGCACTGCGCATGCGTGTCTCTGCACGGCGCTTGAATCAAGGGCACAATAGAAACCTCATTTACATTTACTGGTCGAAATAACTAAGCTGAACTAAACATTTGTATTCATTTATGACATGTTAACATTTAAGTGTTCATTTCATTTATTAAAAATATAGAAATATCTCAATTATATGCTTATTAAAGAAAAACCTCGCTACGTGTACTGCATTCAACTGTTAACTGTCTCAGTAATATCTTAGTCTGAACCTAAAGTAATCTTGACAAACTATTTATCGTTTGAAAGCTTACAGACTCTAGTTTTCATATGTCGTGACTGATTTTGAAATATTTTACAGAGCAACAGTAATTTATTAATTTGCAAGAAGAGTGCTCATTAGAGTCAGAGAGCGAATTATGATCTTTACTTTGAAATAGTGATGCACATATGAAAAATCAGAAAAAAACTCCATTCATTTTCATGTCGTGTTCAAAAGATAACATCCATTCTATTTTTTGAGAAAAAAAAGGTCTAAAAGTGTTTTGAAAATAAAGAAAAAACAATAGATTCTGCAGTTTTGATGCAGCGTGAACTAAAACACAGGTCCAGGGTTCTCGTCGCATGGCTTTTATCTGTTTTTTAGAGGTTGAATTGAAATCAAATAGTGCCATACTGCCCTTAATGCTTCTGAATGTGATGTGATGAAGTATGGAAAAACATGTTTCAGATCACTCAAACCATATATGGAAATGGGCCCTTATATGGTTACTAATGTGGGTTTGATGGTTCATAAACTTAAACTTCCATAACTTTTTTCACTTCTACAATAATCTGCCAAGTGTCTTCTTTAAAAAGAGACCAACCTTTACTCTGTGCTCCAAAGCATTCAAAATTTATAATAATTTAAGTTGGAAATGTCATTTTCAGGTCTACGCTCAAACAGTGGAACCGACAGAGAACTGTTATAGAATCGGTGTATCATCGCTCTTTTGTTGGATTGATTGCTTCTATTGTCCTCATTTGTGAGTCGCTTTGGATGAAAGCATCTGCTAACTGACTAAATGTAAATGTAAGATTATTTATAGGTGTCTTGCCCTATGTATTGTGTGTATGATGACAGGTTATGTGTGATTCATTTCGGGAAGCAATTTGAATTTGACTGTTTTATTTCTATTTTCTTGAATTCAGCCTTGAATTACAAATCCGGATTGGCTTAGAATTCGAGTCAGTGAAGTTAAAAGGCATGTTTTAGTTCTGACTGCCTCACAGACTGGACTATCAGCATGAACGTCTGTGGAAGAGCAGCATCTAAACACACACATACACCACAATCACCATATTGTGTGATTCATATCAAACACAGTATTTTTCAGGCAATTTAATATATTACAACCCAATTTAAACACTAATATCTGATAAATAAGCACATTTATGTTGGAAGAGCTCTCCAGCACTGCTCTGGGCTTCATTGTGACGCTCCAAACTGAGTCAAAGCCTCTCTTTTTCTTACTTTTGCATGAAGAGTAAAACACATATGCTTATAGTCATCCTGATTTGAATAAAAGGCCATTTTATATGAAATGTATGTTTTGTTTAAATCGTGTAGATTGCTGTTTCCACCAGGGGGCGCTCTTCACAGAAAGCAGTGCTTTTTCAGTCCTGCTGATGGAGAAACAGATTCAGATCATTAGATGAGAGCTTGATGAGCTCAGCCGTAAGGAGAGAAACTAACTGACCACACTGTAAAAAATTTCACCCCTTTCAACTTAAAAACGTAAGTTTTGTGGCTGCCTTCAAATTTTAAGTTAAATCAACTTAAAAGTACAAGTAATTTCAACTCACTAATGTAAATCTTGCCTAGTGCTGAATTGTTTTATTGAAGTTCATTTGACTTTACAATATTTTCTGTTTCAACTTAAGTTCAAAATTTTTAACATAAATTTTCTAGTTATGATAATGTAAACTTTATTTTGGATCCAGATAAAAAAATATATACTACAATATTTGTTTGAAACATTTAAAATTAATTTTTTTCTTGCAGTGCTTATAAACAGGGTTTTAATATTAAGAACAGTACACAACCTGCCTGTGCATGCTAATGTGTGAATGCCAGTATATGTATACAGCAAGGGCACAAAAGTAGCAAAAAACTGCCAAGAAACTGTCATACAAAGCTGAAAATACACTCATACCTCTTGGGAAATAACCACTGAGAAAAGCTTCAAAAAAAACACATACATGTCCATTACAGTCCTTCTTTTTCTTGAACATTTAAAAGGAGAAAGGTGTCCTGCAGTGCACCATCGTAGTCTTCGTATTAGGACGCCAGCTTGCACGCCCTTCTTGTGTGTAGCCTTTAAAATCAGAAAATAACAGTAAAAATTACTAACAGTTGGTTATTCTATATACAATACACACTGACAGACTTCAATATACACAAATTAATTAAACACATTCAATGTTTTGAATAACAAAAAAAAAAGTGATTTTTTAAAGCAGGGGTGTCGAATCCTGCTCTGCGGGTCACTGTCCTGCAGAGTTTAGCTCCATCCTTAATTAAATACATCTGAATCCGTTAACTAAGGTATTACTAGGCATACCAGAAACTTCCAGGTAAGTTGTAGCTAAATTCTGCAGAAGAGTGGACATCCAGGACCGAGTTTAGACACCTCTGGTTTAAAGTGTCCCTATGCTGCTTGTGAGTAATAGGAATGTAACAATGTACTCTAAGTCGGTTGAAAATCGATGCAAATATGTGCTGCAAGTTGATTGAGACGTTAAACAAATCAAGATAAAAATGCTTAACTTTACTCAGTAACGAATACCAACTCACACGAAGCCTGACTGACTGGGATAAACTTCCAGTGGGCGCGAAAATGCCGAGCCTGCTCAGCAAAGCCAACTGGTAACGTTACCCACTTTAACGGTTAAATACACCTATAATCGCTCAAATTGCCCATCTTAACGATGTTTAACAGGTGGTTAAACAAATATGTGTCAAATCTCAAACGTTACATTATAATCTGCAAGGCTAATGCAGCACAGCACAGCGGCCACCGGATCAGAAATACAAAACTTGAAAGGTAACGTTAAACACAGTTCGGAAAACAATGACAGAACATAACTAATTATGCGCTATTCTGCTAAAATGAACAATAAGCTCCCAAAAAGTATGTTACACAACCATTCACTCACCTCATCCACGCTGAATATGCTTCTTCGCGCGCAGCCCAACGGACAGCTTCCTCAAGTTCATGAGTTGTACGTCTGACATTCCTCCGCGGTTTAGTTAGTTCGCTGTATAGTCTGCCCGTGTCTCCTTGTTTGATGTTGCACTGCGATGTCTCATGTTTCAAACATGAGTCTAATGTCTAGATTTGCTGATTTTTTTTTTCTTGGAAAGGACTCTGATATTAAATTCATGTACTACCGGTAATTTGACTCCTGCGCATGAATCCATGTTCAGAGATTTGGCCGGTTAGTGCCAGTAAGCTACAACTTAAAATGTTAAGTTCACTGAACTAAATTGGGCTCTTTGAATTTCAGTAACATTAAACTGACTTAAAAAATCAAGTTTAATCTAGTATAACTTATAAAAAAAAGTTGAAATTGCTTAAATTATTTTTATGAGTTAAAGTAACTTAAAAACATAAGTTGTCATGGCTTTTTCATCATATAATTTTTTACAGTGTACAAACAGGTGAACAAGGAGGAGAAACACAAGGTAAGACAGGAGTCCATAGAAGTATGCAGATGATAACTGGAATGGAAACGGATGGAATTTGCTGGAGTAGAAGGCAGGTAATAGTAAAAGGGTAAGCACTCCTTCAGGTAAGTGATAATATTAGTCTGTATGCTGAAAATTGAAAGTATATTTTTAAATCTGCCCCTGGCTGACCATAGTCAACTCCATGGTCCCCTAGTGCTTCTGTTTGAGACTTGTGCAACATTGAGACTTGAATTAGTTTAATTATCCCAATTTAATAAATTAAATAAATTTGGTTGCATTTATTTTCATTTAGAAACCTGTATTTTTTTAAATTACTAATCACTCTCTCTCTATGTGACAAATGGCATGAATTTTCCTCTTAAAGGGGTCCTATTATGCTCTTTTACAAAGTCTTGATTTTGTTTTGGGTTGGCAAACCAACTTAAATGGTGCATTCCCGCCACCTACTGGATAGGAGTGTGGAGCGCATAATGATTGTTAGTTTGAGAACTATAGCCAAAAAATTAAAAATATTAATACACCGCCAATTATTCCCGCGTTATTTACTACAACTGTATCCTAAATTCTGTTGATCAGTCTTGTTTCTTTTAAGAAAGATATTAAATTCATGTACAAATTTGACTCCTGCGCATGAATCCATGTTCCGAGATTTGGCCGGTTAGTGCCAAAAAGCTACAACTTAAAATGTAAAGTTCACTGAACTAAATTGGGCTTTTTGAATTTCAGTAACATTAAACTGACTTAAAAAATCAAGTTGAATCTAGTATAACTTATAAAAAAAAGTTCAAATTGCTTAAATTATTTTTAAGAGTTAAAGTAACTTAAAAACATAAGTTGTCATGGCTTTTTCATCATATCATTTTTTACAGTGTAGCGGTGCTTCTCAATATCCCTCCTCGTTTCCTCGCTGCTCCGTCCTCCGTCCGATGACCCTGAGACCAGTCGAGCTCAGTCATCTTGTAGGACATCTCAGTTCTCTAGGACGCTTTGAAGTGACGCTTGAGTGGTCAATAATATTCCAGTAACTCATTCCAGCGTCCTTCCCTCGTATCCTCAGGGAGTGGAGATAAGACGCGAGGATGCACAGATAAGAAATGAGAAGCAGCCCAGGACTGAAATCTGGGGAGTTGTAGTACCACAGCGCGAGTAATGCTCAGTCACTGTACACTGAACATAAACCATCAGTGTTAAACTATACTGGTACATGAGCTCAGTGTCAGTGCTGCGCTTCTTCTGTCTGTGAGTCTTCAGGAAGTCTCCGCTGAACCCTCCACATTCTTTCTGAATGCGACCCGCGGGCCGGTGTGCGGCGCTCTGGGCTCAGTCCCGTCAGAGATGATCCAGATGGCCACGGTGTATCTGTTGCCCTCCATCCTCCAGCTCCGGGCTGGTCTCCGGACACCAGTCGGCCATGAACTTGTCTCTGGCCTCGCACAGATTGAGCCGCACCTCCTCGGGCTGCTGGCCGAACAGATAGTCTGCAGGGAGACGAGGAGGAGATGGGTGGTTACGTCACAAACCTCACATACCTACTTCTTTATCAGTCGGCTTTGCTTCTGTTGAGCATCATTCAGTGTCCTGCATTAGCCACAGTCACAACAGTCCAGCACAGAGCAGCTAATCCAATCGCATGTGTTTAAACCGGTAAACTCCTGTAAACTTTTCAGTCCAAGCATCCAGTAAAAGAATGCATTCAAACAGTAAGTTCTGTGTAAGTAACACACAGTTAAGACCGATTTCATCAGAGACTGAGTCACATCGAGATGTCAGTAAATTATTATTTTCAGCGTGTATTTGGATTAAAAGCATGAGTGTTTTATACTGGATGCTGGCTGAAGGAGTTTACTAGAGGTTCTGACAAAATGTTAATTGTTGCAGTCTATTTAATTTTGAAAAATTGAGTTATTGCAAAATCTGCACCTCTTCTGTGGCTATTTTTATTAATAATAAATTAATATTAATGAACTAATATTAATTTTATGATGATCTTTACTTTGACAATATGCAAATGCTACTGGCCCATTTTGGGGTGAGCTAAATATGCAAGACTAGTCTTACATGTCACTGTTTATAACACAGAGTGTTTATCCTTTGCTGGGTCGCTTTAAATAAATGGGGGCATAAATTAAGAGTATATACCCACTTCTCCAGGCACCATTACACCAATGACCAGAAGTATTACATAATCAACACTTATTGATAGCTGCCTTTATATTTTAGGAAGTGTAGGTGTTACTAATTTTGGGAGAAATTGACTTCAGAAAGTCTGAAAAGCCTTTAGATTACACTTGCAGAGCTAAACTCTTAAACTACAGGTGAGGACTGTAACCAACAGTGTTGGGGAAAGTTACTTTTAAAATTAATGCATTACAATATTGCTTTACTTCATAAAAAAGTAACAAATTACGTTACTTTTTATGGAAAGTAATGCGTTACGTTACTTTTGCGCTACTTTTTAAATCTGGACAGGGCTTGCTTGTTTGTTTTTAAAATAAAAAAGTTATATTTTTGGCAAATATAAAAGCCTTTTCACACCAAAAGTGAAATGAATAAGCCTCAGG